CTTAGGACTAATTTATCTTTGACAGAAAACTTACTAGAGCCTTTATGTTCTACACATATAAACCTAGTTTTATGCAACATGCTAAAGTTACCTAACACTTGCAGTTACAGAGATTACCTGTTTAACCACTAGATTACACTATTTCTACTCTTGTAAAGTTTACTAAAACTCCAGTACCTATCTTTCTGGCATCTTTTCTATTATTCTCTACTAGCTACAACTTAGAACCAACAGTCTTATTTCAGACTACCAATCTAGATGACCCAGTATAGTATACTCTGTATTCTTTTCCTCTGGCAAATTCAGTGGCCTGGTTGATTATATACTTCTCTACACATATTTGATATCCAGTTTTAACCTTTAGTTTCTATAAAAGTGTTTTGTGGACTTTAACCAGTTTAATGGTACTATTAAAAGTTCATGCTACCTTTTTACTCAAGAATTTCCAAGTGGGTTTTTGTTACCTTGGTTTCTTAGTCTTTTATGCTCGATGGTCTTATCATGGGTTTGCACTGAAGTTTTATGCAACACTGATTATATATTCCTCTATGTACATATAATGTTACACTTTGCATAAATGCCTAAGCTCCCAATGTCAATAGGACCTGACTTGGTATAACTGAGTAACAGCCATATGAGGCCAACTGATTGACAAGAGACAGTTATCATAATGCAGATATAATTTCCAAATTTCATTATAGATGGGATTTGAACCTTAGATCTGCCACTTGGAGGATAACAACCTAACCACTATACTAGGATCACCATCTTCTGAATTTTATTAATATTATGTTTTGGCTAGTAGCTATTATGTATAACAAACACAAAAGCAATCTTAAAAAGAATATACAACTAACTATTTGTACAACTTTAGTTATTATCTAATTTAAGTAGTCTGCCTAAAAGTTTTATACTATTTGCTATATTGAAAACCTATCTGTAAATCTTTTATTTAATACTCTAGATTCTGTATTTATTCTATTTTAACAATAACTTCATTAAACTAATAAAGATATGTCATAGTCACTAAGTTATATTTAACTTTGTACTAAATCTACTAAAGCCTTTTGTATTTTATGCTTATAGCCAATTTGATACTTCTTTAATCTAAACTAGTACTTGCAATTTTAACTAACTATTAAACTAGTATAACTTTGTTAAATTCACTAAATCTTAGTAACTACTTTGCTAATATTATCTTTTTATTTTGAACTTAACTTTTCTTATTCTGAATCTAACTTTTTAAACTACTAATTTAGATAACACAATATAGTATTTAATTAAAAATACTTTTTTTCTAACAGATTTAGCAGCCTAGTTGGTATATGCTTCTTTATACATATTAGCATTCAATTTATTTAGCTCTTTCTAAAGTTTCTAGCTTTTTCTAAGACTTTTATCAGTCTGATAGTATTGTTAAAAATCTATATTATATTTTTATTTGTAATTTTTAAATAGGCTTTTATATATCAGTTTGTTAGTATTATGTATTTGATGATTTTATTATAGATTTGCATTAAATTTTTATGCAATACTAGTTAACTAACATTTTTCATATACATGTAACATTACACTTTGTATAAATGGTTTAAGCTTTTATTTAAGATAATGTATTTAAGATTATATAGTATTTCTTCAATTTAACTAATCAGTAAAACACAGTTACTATAACACAGATATAATTTTCAAATTTCACTATCTATAGAATTTGAATACTAGACCTGTTACTTGAAAGCTATCAACCTGTCTATTTTATTAGATCACTATACTTCTATTCTATTTATTATATATATTATACTTAAATTAATATTTTTTAAAAAATACTTTTTTTTACTTTTTTTAAATTCTATTAAACAAACTTGTATTCTTTTATTAAACAAAAATATTAAGCTTATTAAAATAATTATTTTAATATAAATTTATCTGTAATAGATAAAACTTTTTATATTTTTTTTAAACTTTTATCTAAACTCTTTTTTAAAAGTTTATTAATTAATTTTAAAAAATTTACTAAATTATTTTAGAAACTTTATTTTTTTAATTTTAAAATTTTTTAAATATCTAATATTTTTCTAAAATGTTTTTAAAAAAACCTGAAAATTATTAATTTTAAAAAACTTAATCTTTTTATTTAATATTTATTTTTACTATTTATATTTTAATAATTTTTATTTTTTTTATTATAAAATATTATAAATATTTTTTTTATCTTTATTTTAAATTTTCTACAATTTAAATAATCTTTTTATTATTAATATTACTTATGACTTTAATATGAATTTACAAAAAGATTTGGTCTTATAGACTAAGTTAACAGTTTAAATTAGATAAAACAAAAATCTAAAAGATTTTAAACTTTGTAATCTAAAATAAAAATAAAATTAAATGCAAAAAGTTCTAAAATAAAGTACAAGATTGATTAAAAATTCATAAAAAATTAACTTTGTAAAAAAAAATACTATATATAACTATATCATTATAGAAACTTTTGTTATATAAAATATTATATAAGTAAGTTTTCTTAAAGATATATAATATCAACATTCTTACATTCAACTTATAATTATTTAATTAAAAGAGTAATATAAATATAACTAAATTAAAGTAATAGAATATACAAAAATAATTTGTATAAAAAAATTTATCTAATTAGAATTAAAAAATTTTAAATAAATACTATAAAAATATTAATTATACATTATAATTTAATTAATAATTATCAAACTTATATATAATAAGTTAAAATTCTAAACCTCTTTGTAATATTAAACTAATAATATAATATATATAATTAATAGTACATTACAAAAAAGTCTGAATAAAGCATATTGAGAGGTCCAATAACATGATATAAATACTCTGCTAGGACTTCACATGAGAATGGGTATAATGATCAGATTCTTAATATAGATATCCTGACAATTAATTACATTAATGTAATTAATTAAATAAATCAAAGAAGTAGAATTAATAAGATAAAAAGAATTAATTAGAAAAAGGGGATTTATTAAATAAATGGGTTTAAGTAAATAAATTAGAGAAATCAAATTAAAGGGTTTAATGAGATTAATGTAATTAATAAAGTTATAATTAAAAAGATATTATAAATAAAGGCTGAAATGGCCTTTTAGAGCAGTATGCTTTATTTGCTTTATTAAATAATAAGTTCCAATACATTACATTGTATATAATAAACACTAACACTATTACTATTACAAACCCTGTAAACCTTCATAACATCATTGTTCAAGCCCTTGTACATGTGACTTACTCTACTTGCATTTGTTGACCCAAAGTAACCAAAAGCCTTAATTGCCCACTAGCCAAATTTAACACTCTTTTTTGAAAAAGTTACTTATTGTACATTATGTAAGATATTTAATTGTGGAATGACAAGTCACAATCTTCTGAACCCAACAATATATAATCAAATCACAAACCAAACTAACTATAAAAGTGTAACCAAAAAGAATACATGATAAACTGCAAATTAATAATCTAGAATTCAATAAATTCAACTACCAACAAAGTACCAAGAAATATATTAAACTGTATATATCAAATTGATAGTAATAAAAACTAAAAACTGCCAAAATTAACAAATCTAAAAGAATAAAAAATTATTAATATAGTAGATAAATAGACTGTATTCAGATTGAGTAATAAAAAATTATAGTATAACAAGATGACTACAACCTTATCAGTAACTAGTAATGATGATTGAAATACATAGTAAATACTATAAACTATATAAGAAAATGTAGATGTAATATGTATTACATTAGGTGACTATAACTAAAAGTAATATGTATAATATTAATTTGGGTTTGAGTTTGGGATTTGTGTACAGACAAACCCAAATCATAATAGTTTGTGGCAGATATAAGTTAAAGGGTATATATAGCAAATTTAACAGTAGAGATTGTTGGAAGCTAATATAGTTTTTCTGCAACTAACATTATGATTTCACGTGACGTGATTATTATCGGAGTCAGTGACCTGAAAAAATATAACTACCCCAGTGGCACCGACAGACTTTCACTGATCGACATGTTTTTTTTAAAGTCATAAAACCGTACATTAGGGTAAGGTTTATAATTATATATATATTTGTTTTACACTAAAATTTTGCAAGGAATTTTTTTTACTAATGCGCAGAAGATTGGTACATGGACGAAATTTTGAGTTATGGCGGTTTTGTTTAGAAAATGGTAGTTTTTGTTTTGATTTCACGTTGCACCCGATCTTAACCTGATCTTGTAATATAATTGGTCAATCGCTGTCGATCAGTGAAAATATCGATTTGATTTGATAAAAATATTATGACAGGTGAAACCCACATTGTGAATTAGTAAAATCCACTACACAGATTACATGAGGGCAGGGTTTGCAATAGAACCAATAGAACTCAGAAAGCTAGTATTCATCGGCTCCATTCAGAGCTTCATTGGGCTCCATTGAGTTCCATTGCCAACTTTGCATAATAACAAACATAGCTAAACGCAGTTTCATCATAATGTGATTTACGTGTGGGTTTCACCCTTTCCTAAAATATTGATTTATATCGATATGCTCATGTTTCGTCAATTAGAATGCAATATATGGTGTAATAGTAAATAATGTGATCAGTGTAAGTAGGATTTTTTTGTTCACGATTTCGAAACCTGGCGACAGTTCAGGTTGACCAAATTTATATTGCCCAGCCTAAATTATCTTTTAATTTTGCCTGAAGTGTGTTGTTACATGTAATAAATTTTCTTCTGCATATCGATATAAATAATGGAAAACTTGCAGTAAAAACATTAAAAACAAAACATTCTTTATAGCTATTTATTTTGAATTATCTAGGAACTAAGGAATTAGTTTATTGTAGAAATTTATTGAACGAAAACAAACTTTTTATTTGGAAAATATTATATAGTAATACATTTTAACGATAACGACGTAAAAATAGTAATAATGCAATCTAGGCTATTTAATAAAACAATTTGATCTAATTTTTAATACTCATTTGTTGATGGCGTCTTAGTATTATTGAGAATGGTTTTATTGAGTATGGTTTCTAATTTTTCACATTCTTCATATTCTATATTATTGTCTTTTCTTGTATATAATGAAGTTCCAAATCCCGGAATAACATACCATTTAACATTAGAATTTGTGAATACAATCTTATGTTCATCATTATGTTTATCGTTCTTATGTTTATCATTAATAATAATCTCTATATCTGCTTTATCATATTTTCCTTTATTCGGTTTGTTGTTGTCCTTATATGCTCTATGTGAATAAACAAAATATTGAAAGTAACCCATTTCAAGAACATTTGCATAAATTCTTACATTGTTTTCAGAAAGATATTTAGATATAATTTTTGCTCCTGGTATTTTAAATTCATTATCAACAATATCGTAATATCTACCAAATATGCGTGTTATACCAACTGGATTTTTAAATTTTTCAGAAATAATTTCTTCAAAAGTATTTTTGTAGTCGGTATAATCTTCCGTAATTTGGGTTCCATTAATTGTTTTAATTTGTATAAAATGATTTTCTGTTGTGTCAATGTTAATTCTAGTATGACTTTTTATGATTCTACACAGATAACATTCATAGTCTTTATCCTCAAATTTCGTACCATAATCAGTTTTTATAACTTTGTTAATACATTTGATAAATCTTTGGTAATAGCATCTTTTTTTTCTTCCACCAAGTTTTTCAGTCAATTGCTTGTAGACATCTGTGACACATATGTACTCCTGGTTTCGATAAAATTGTTTAATATTTTCAATATATTTTTTCGTTGTTTCATCGTTATCATTCACCTGTATATAAAGTCTTTGATGACCCAAGTAGTCATAAATTTTGTCTTGAAGAATCCGTAAAAAAACAAATTTATAATTATTTTCTTCTTCGCGATTTTTAATTCCATAGTGTTCAATATCTTTAACTCTAATATCTTTAAAATTATCATTTGAAAAGAATGATGAAATAGTACGGGTTAAAATTAAAATGAAGAAAAAAATTGAATCGGCACCTTTAGGGGTGCAATATAAAGCATATTCAAAGATGACTTGCATAATAGAAACTAATATAATGCAGAATGAAGCTTTTTTGGGAATTTTTTGCCGAAAAAAAAATCTGAAAGATACGAAAGAAACCAGAAGGAAATAAATAATATCGAAAATCCATCTTAAAAGTTCTAAATTTATAATTACATCTGCTGGTGTTCCTTCATCATATATTTGCTTTGCATCATATATCATAATGAGAATTGATTCAAAAAAACAAATTAATATGATAAAATGTTTAATCCACTCATAATTCGATTGTTTTTTATAATAAAAATCACACTTTTCGAAAACATTGGGGTTTCCTGAACTTCTGCTTCGTTTTTCGGATTTTTTTTCAAAATAATTTAATTGATGAAATATGGTCGCTCTATGAAAATAACCAATAGAACAGCTAAAAAAGATAATACAAAAAGTGATAAACAGGTAATGAACGAAGCGTGAAAAACAACAGCGAATTTTGTAGTAAAAAACCAAGAGACAACAGGAATTAGAAAAAAAGTGAGAATTAAAAAATCATCAAGTAGGCACGTTGTAGTTAACTTAAATCTAGAAGTTACACCATAATAGGTTATATTAAAAATTAATCCAGCAATGGAAGTGAAACTCGATAATTGAGATAAAATAGAAGAATGAGAAACTTCGTCATAATAAGTACCAATATGACATTGTATTACTATTTCACCATCCTTTTGTTCTAGAATTGGTTTATAGAATTTAGAGCTTATGGAATTCTCCAACTTTTCAGCTGTAGGAACAATCCAAACGAATAGGATGATAATATATAAAATCATCAACAATATTGCAATTATTGGTAAAGTAGTTATTAGCGATCGTATTAACGTCATTGTTAAAATTAATGAATAAAATTTAAAAATTTGTCAGAAAAGTTATATATTTTTTATATTTACGGTATGGAAAAAAAAATAAGTAATGTATGCAATGTACATACGTACGTACTTATATATTCTTTTGAAATCAATAAAAGATTAGGATATATTTTAACATTCTATTAATTCACGTACGTATTATCTCTACATACTAAAGTTTTTAAATTTCTTACTCCTTGCCATACGTATGATCTTTATATGGATAGATCGAGACCTTTAGATTTCCAGCGGCATAAATATTATGCGTCGTACATATGTACGTATTAAGCAGGCACTTGAAGCTTTTGTCAAATCTCTCAATATCAAAGTAATACACCATACTTTATACGTAGCAGATGGTTATGTAAGTAAGTCGCTAGTGTGAATATTCTCGTTTGAATAAATTAAGATTTCACATTTTAGTATAAATTGAAAACAGTTCTTACTACCTATATCTTTACAATGTCATATGGTTATTGAAGCTTGGAGAAACCATTGTTAAACGAATTTTTCATTTATAACTTTGTTAATTTATTATATCCTTTATTACGTTATACAATAAATAACAATAAAATATTTACAATAATCACCAATGAAGACGTAAACCAACTTAAAAAACGACTAAACATAATTGTTTAACGTCCCTGCTGCTTACCGTAAGTTCGGGTACTCTCAGTGTTGTCACATTTACTATGTCCATGGATTTTTTTGGCTGTCCATGTCCATGTCCAGTCCATGTCCAGTCCATGTCCACGTCCATGTCCACAGATGTCCATGATGTTTATGCATCTCATTGCTTAATATATATTAATAAAAATATACAATTATATATAAAATTTAATGGTAAACATTTTTACTTAATGTACAAAATCAAGTTGGCATAATAAACTTTTGAGCTATTAACATTTCTTTTTTGTGCAACATGTTCGTATATTCTCTACACATTTGTCCACACGTCTGTCCACACCTGTCCATTGACAACACTGGGTACTCTCATGGAGTTATTTTAAAAAATCTTCAAAATTGACATAATAATAAGTCGGGTGATGCATGCACAGTACAAACTTAAAGAGACAAAATATATACGATTAGCATATTGAAACAAAATGCTGTATTTCCTAAATTATTAGCATCAATAAAGTGTGTACATAAATACTTTTATTAAGGTCGATAATTTAAGAAATAGTTTATTTCAAATGAGTTACTTAATTGGAATTTTCATACAGAAGTTTAACACGGTTACACAAAACATAAAATATATGCAAAAAAGCATACGTTAAAATTTCAATAAGTTAATCTAATATTGTAATACTGTGTAATCATATATTAATTTTCGTAATATATCAACAAATTTTAATGTTTTGTGTAACGAATATCCTTATGTCAAGAAAATCCGAGCTGCTGGCCAAAAAGATATGGATCGAGTATATCAAAAATTCTCTATATATTTAACATTAACAATCGTTTCTGATAAGTAAAATTTCATTCTGAAAACTTTTACTTAGAGGTTCGGAAGTTAGTCATCATAGTAAATTTTTGTGTTATTTACTTTTTTTTACAATTTCTTATGTTTTTCGCGTTTGTTTTGTTACACGAAATTCTGTGATTTCTTGACATAAGGGTATTCGTACGTAACACATTGAAATCCACACTTTATTGATGTTAATTATTTAGGAAATATAATATAAAATTCTACTTATTTATACATGTATGCCTTGTAACTTTGCTGAAAATATAGTTGACAATAGAAATATAAACGCATCGAAGTAGTAATTATCAAGTACAGGATCATACGATTCAGTCTTAGTCTATAATCATTAAGTAACAGTTTTAGAACTTAGATCTATAATTTCATAGAAGTCCTGATAATTGTCCGGAGAGAAGCGAGCATACAGGTAGACTAAATGTAATGTCCTTCCGCCAAACACGTCATTAATCCTAGAATTTTCTTTAACATTAATGTCGATTACCTGATGATTTCGTGTGCGTACTTAAGGATGGCTCCGAAATTCAAAAAACAATATCACTTGATTATTAATTATTGTTTGATATGCGACTGCGTACTTAGTGTAATAATGACCTCCCAAGGTAATATAGTAATATAGTAGAATAAGTTCTGCGACTTCTTCTTGGACCTGGTCTAACTATATTATCCCAGTGATAATAATGCAATATAATTCTACAAGGACGAATTCAATTATTCGACCATCAACTAACCAAAGCATTAGATTTATTTAGAATTATTTAGAATTTGTTCAGATACTTTATTCATATATTTGTCGTACGTCGGAATGGGCATATCGTAAATGTGTACAAGGTTGTCAGCGCAGATATCCTGAACTACGAATCAGGTTTCAAGATTAGGTGTAACGTAACACAATCAGGAAGATCCGTTCGTTCTGCCAAAAATTGCTCATGGCACAAAAATCATCATAAGAAACCACCCTTTGTGCTCTAACAAAAAGTTTTCATTGAACAATTTTACTATATAAACTATCCCTCACCAGATCGTAACTTTGACCCTAACCTAACCTTAACGAATTTTAATAATTTAATCACATTTACGATATGCAATTAGAATGCATTTAGGTCGATTCCAAATAAACATAGGTTATAATAGAATTCTAAAATGTGCCCAAGTCGTTAAACATTCCAATTCAGCTTACAATAAATTAAGTGACTCCAAATTATTTCATCGAGTACGCTGTTCTGAAATTTAAGTTGCTTTACGATAGGGTTTATTCACAACACAGCGTATTGCAACTATTCCCACTAGGTACGTTCATTTTTTTTGCATTTACAATGATTTTTGTTACATGTTTGCAGCTACATTTAATATTATTTACTTTGAATCGGATTGCAAATAAACACTTCTCAAACGCTTATGAGCGTTGAAAGCATACTTTCAATTCTTTCTATAACGAACCAAAGATTCAGAAGAAAAAAAAAGTTCGTTGTAGAAAATTACTATGTTTTCTTTTAATTCCAGCCCAAATATATACTAAACCTATAAGTACAATTTTTCATATGCTCTAAATGTAGGTTGTTAAAAGTTGGTTCCTACGAGCTGCATTTAGGGATCTATTTTTTTTGTAGTTTGTTCAAACTTTCTTGCTACTTTGCAGAGATCGATCGACTGTAAAAATTTTCTTGCAATATCTAAAGAATATTTTTACATTCGCCATTTTTTATATTTTATAAATAAAGTTACTGGTTTTGAATAATCATAACTAGATGAAACATTGTCAATTTTTACTTGGTATCGATTAAATATTAAAAAAGTGTTTTATTAAATAAATGAATTTTATAGCCTTTGTTAGAGATTACATTTTTTAATATACAGAGGTTTATTCTTAGGTCTTAATGTCTTTTTTCCACAATATTCAATTTCGCTTATCTTGGAATTAAGCACTCACCTTCTTAACTCTCTTATCGAACTACATTCTCTTTAATATCCTTTTATTATTAGAATTATACGTTGAAACTGGTAAATCCCTTCTGTTTTTTGATAATGTTTAATAACGTTTGAACTTAAATGGAAGTAAAAACACACGTTGAAGTAATTGCACGGCATAATAGGGTGTTCAAAATACTACCGTACTGCACGGACCACGATACCCTGGGTACAATACATTCTATAACCGAAATTTGTATAGTACCCAGGGCACTACACCTATCGATTTTTCATATGAAAAGTTTCTTTTACATAGGAAATCCTCCAGGTATTTTACTTCCTATCATGAATTTTTTTATAGAGTATTTTGCACGGGGATACCGGTCCGCGCTGCACAGTAATTAATCAAAATCATAGGCACTTATATTCAGATTTTTTACAGTTATCGATTTGCACATGTAAACACACATCCTAACTAATAGCCAAATTTTCATTTATTTTAAAAAAAATGAAAGCTCAACACGTAATAGCGCTAAATTTCTTTGAAATATTCAAGATATTTTGTATTCGAAATTTTATTCTATTTCACAATTGTGTTAGTCTAGAATTCATTTTTTTTAAAAAAACATTTTAATATAATTTGGCATATTAATTAAACCAAAAATGTAATTTAATTTATGTACAGTAAACGTAAATCGATGCGCGTAAAAAAAATACGCTTTTTTGATTAATTGGTATTTTGAACATCCTAATGGTAAAAATCAATTTATACACTTTGCTCTTTATAGGTTTCGATTTTGGCTCAAAAAATGGCTATTTCAGTATATTTTGTCATCTGAATTCAATTTTTCATCTTCTCAAATAATATTTAAAATTTATGTCGTAAAAAATTTTAACTTTTATTGATAAAGCAATAATTTTTCTATAAATTT